TCAGTGGGGTGGGGCACATGGAGGGTGAGGGGGCACACCGGCCAGGGAGGGCTCCTGCAAGAGAACAGCTCCCTGTAATGGGGGGGGGGGCGGGAGAGAGGAACGCTCCCTGTGGGGGTGGGGGCTGGGGGATAGCTGGGGGCGGGGAGGGGAGGACTGCTCCCTGCCCGGGAGGGGGCTGGCACCTGGATCCCTGTGTGTGTGTGTGTGTGGGGGGGGGGGGATCTAGGTCCCAGTCTCAGTGGGGGATACCACCTGGCACGGGGGAGGGGTCCCAAATCTCACTGCGGGGCTGGCAAGCACCTGGCACGAGGTGGGACCTGCTCTGGGTTGGGAGCTGGGGGAAGGGAGGCCCCGATTCTGGCCAGGGGTCCCCGATGCTGCAGTAGGGAGACCTGGTGTCTGAAAGCCCAGGGCAGGGCACTGGGAGAAGGGAGGGGTCCTCACCCTCCCAGTGTCCCTCCCCCCAGCTCCGCCTGCCTCCATCCCCATGAGGTCAGCGATGGAATAGACACAGCATAATGCGGTGTGGGTGTGTGCGGCGAGCAGTGGGGAGAGGGACACCGAATAGACAAACATCCCTGTCCCTGCCCCCTCTCCTCCCACCCCCAGTCTCACAACAAGGCCTCTGCTATAGACAGGCCCAGACACCCCCGCCCCCCCCAGAGTAACAGGTGCCTCCCTGACACACACATGCGCTCTTGCTCTCCTCCACTAACAGGCCCAGGATGTGCTCAAAAGAGCCACACACTGGATGAATGGACGGCTGTGTGGGCGTGTGTGGACAGATGGATACATAAGAACATAAGAATGACCCCACTGGGTCAGAGCAAAAACCCACGGCCCATCCCTGTCCTCCGACAGTGGCCAGTGCCCGGGTGCCCAGGGGAATGAACAGAGCAGGGAATCATCCAAGTGGCCCATCCCCTGTCCCTTGGTCCCAGCTACAAGCAAATAGATAGATCGATAGAGGGGGTGGATGGGGATAGATGGATAGAACAGGGATAGATGGATGTAGGGGGGATAGACAGATAGATAGGTGTGGGGGGCGTAGATGGATAGATGGCTGTAGGGGGATAGATGGGTGTAGGGGGTAGATGGATAGATGGCTGTAGGGGAGATAGATGGGTGTATGGATGGGATAGATGGGTGTAGGGGGATAGGTGGGTGTAGGGGGATAGATGGATAGATGGGTGTAGGGAGATAGATGGGTGTGAGGGGGGATAGATGGATAGATGGCTGTAGGGAGATAGATGGGTGTATGGTGGGATAGATGGGTGTAGGGGGATGGGTGGGGGTGTAGGGGGATAGATGGATAGATGGGTGTAGGGGGGATAGATGGATAGATGGCTGTAGGGAGATAGATGGGTGTAGGGGGGGATAGATGGATAGATGGCTGTAGGGAGATAGATGGGTGTATGGTGGGATAGATGGATAGATGGGTGTAGGGGGATAGATAGATGGATAGATGGGTGTGGGGGATAGGTGGGTGTAGGGGGATAGATGGATAGATGGGGTGTGGGGGATAGATGGGTGTATGGTGGGATAGATGGATAGATGGGTGTACAGGGATAGATGGGTGTAGGGGGATAGGTGGGTGTAGGGGGGATAGATGGGGTGTAGGGGGATAGATGGGCGTGGTGGGATAGATGGATAGATGGGTGTACAGGGATAGATGGGTGTAGGGGGATAGGTGAGTGTAGGGGGGATAGATGGGTGTACAGGGGATAGATGGATAGATGGGTGTCACGGAGTCCCCGGGCGTCTCTGGATCTGCTCCCCATGAAGCCAGCTGGACTCTTCAGGGCCAGTCGCCTTTCTGGGAGCAGCCTGTCTGCAGGACACAGCTCCCCGGCTCCACCTTCCTGGGTCTTTGACCCTGGAGCATTCAGCCTCCTCTGCCCCTCCGTGCGCTTCCCACAGCGAGTCCGCTCAGAGGCGGCACGGTCCTGGGGGCCCAGAGGTCCCTGCCCCCAACTCCGCAGTCAGACGGGACTCTCAGCCAGCCGGGAAACAGAGGTTTATTGAGACGACAGGGACATGGTCTAACACAGAGCTTGTAGGTGCAGAGAACAGGACCCCTCAGCTGGGTCCATTTTGGGGGCAGTGAGCCAGACAACCACCTCTGCCCGTCCTCCATGTCCCAGCCAGCCCCAAACTGAAACCCCCTCCAGCCCCCCTCCTCTGGGCTTTGTCCCTTTCCCGGGCCAGAGGCCACCCTGATCCCCTTTGTTCTCCAACCCTTTGGCTCTCA